TTACAGAGAAAATTCATCTTCCACACAGCAGTTCACATATACTTTGTGTCATGACATTGACTGCAATCTCCCACAATGCAACAGCTCTCCTCCCACTTCCTCCCCATAGCTACCTCTTCCCTGTATCCTTCCTTCCATGCATTCCTGCCCACCACCCCCCCCCAGCTGTCTCCCTGTGCATACACAGCCCTTCTATTCTCCCATGATTGATCTCCCAAGGAGTGTATCTGCCTATTGTAAATGTTCAGCTCATATGCCTGTCTTTGGTTTGGCTGGAAGCCACAGGAGTGGGTTCAATTCCAGACCTGAAGGGCAGTTAGGGGCTGCCACCAGGTTCTATCAGACCAGCAAACCTGGTCCCTTTGTTTAAAAAATTTTGTTCTACATTGTTCTCCCGTTCTATCCAGGATCTCCTACGTAGATCCCCTCTGAGTGGTTGACAGTGGTAGCTGGGCACCATCTAGTTCTTCTGGTCTCGTCATATAGGCTGAGGATCATATGGTATACAAGTCAATAGGGCCTTCTTTATGTTGAAAAATTTAAAAAGAAGTAGTCCAAGTAGAGTACTGATTATAGTGATAGGAACATAATGAACATCTGATAAAGCTAATTGTCTTTATTTACTAAGGAACCCTAGTGGTGCAGTGGTTAAAATGCTCAGCTACCAACCAGAAGGTCGGTGGTTCAAACCCATGAGCTGCTGTGCAGGAAAAAGTTGTGGCAATCTGCTGCCATAAAGATTTACAGCCTTGGAAACCCTATGGAACAATTCTACTCTGTCCTTTAGGTTCACTCTGAGTCAGAATTGACTCAATGACAGTGGGTTGGGTTTTTGGTTTGGTCTTTATTATTATCTCATCCATATGTTTTGGCTATTAGACTAAGAATTATAATTCTGGTTGAAAAAATTTGTTTTTAGTAGTTAAATTATTAGAATCAATTACTGTTGTGCTGAGCCAGACCTCATACCTTAAAGACATTGCCTCTAATTCTCACAACAATGACAGTTAGGTATTATTCCATTTCATAGATGAGAAAACTGAGGCACAGAATGTACTGTTATTAATTTGCTGTTATTAATTTGTCTCTGAAAGCCTAAAATTATATATCTCCTTTCAGGAATCATGAAAAATATTCCTTCATATACATATTTAGATGGTCAGTGTGATAAATTGTGTATTAAGCTCCCTTAAGCTTCATACTTGATTACCACCCTTTCCAACCTGGTCATCCTCTCAGCTGAACTGATCTTAGGCTCTCCTTAAGATGCTTAAGATACAGAGAGCAGCAGCAACAAGTTGATAGCAAGAATCGCTGTGCCAGCAAGGATATGGCTTTATATGTGGAGAGGACAGCTCTATCTTCCCCTGAACACCAGACAGAAAAAGGGAACATGGGCACAGGCTGCTGTCTATCTTTGGGTTTCATGTTAAGGCCTCCACCTAACATGTAACTGTAGACTCCTCCAGATAAGCAGGATCTACTGAAGTTGGCTGATCCCTGAATTGAGATGTATTGACAGTGATTTTTTACTAATGTTAATTGGAGAGCTAAAATTTGCAAAAGATTTTTAAAAATAAGAATAGCTTCAAGATTTTTCCAGTAATAACATCTGTCTCTTGCTTTCGTTTCCATATGCTTTCTTGAGTGAAAAAGGATCAAATTCTAGCAGATGTGTCATCAGTTGCACATAACCCAAAACCTTGCCTTTTGTGTGCTCCAGTGCACAGTCTGTCTTGTCAGGTGAGAGAGTGTTATCCACCATGGGCTATAGTGGAAAACATGTTGATGAGTGTTCTGCTAGGTAGTGATTTCCACACCTCCTGCTGCCGTATACATGATTAATTCAGGAACTCTGTTTCCCTATTGCCTACCCTGTTTTGTCCATTATGGGAAAAAAAAAGGGGGAGGGACTTCAAGAATCTATACTGTTTTTTCCACAAGACTCTAAGACCAGTGTCTAAGACAAGCAAGAAGAAAAAGCATGTACTCTCTTGAGGCTGCTGAAGTGGGTTTCTTAAATTTTACTTGCTCTTTGTGAATCATATCACTGCTGTATTTTATGGTTCTAGATATTCTTGGAGAACTTGGAGCATGAAGACACCTTTGTATATCTGTCTGCTATTCAGGGTAAGTTAGTCCTGGTTAAAGTACTTTGAGTCTGTGGACCAAAGCTTTATAAAATGTATGTGTGCAAAAATTGCCTAAGTCTAGCAAGATTGCTGGTCATTTTATCCATCCTGTTGATTCCTAACTGATACTTGTTTTGAGTTGTAATAGTAATATTCCTGGAAGGTTCCCAAGAATCCCTGTAGAGTTTGAGTGTCTCATAATGAAGAGAAAGTCTTTCTTTATGTTTACTTATCATTCTATATTATCCTTTTTATTTCAATTGGCTCTGTTGTGATGTTGCCCATTTCGCTTCTTATTCATGTTGTTTGTATTCTTTCCCTCTTTTCCTTTGTTAAATTTGCCAGTGGTTTGTCAATTTTATTAATCTTCAAAAAACCAGCTTCTAGTCTGGTTGATTTTTTTCTGTTGTCTTTCTATTTTCTGTTTCATTTATTTCTGCTCTAATCTTTATTATTTCCTTCTGGTGACTGTAGGCTTTTACTGTTCTTTTTCTAATTATTGGGGATGTTGGTTTACAGTGTTGATTTTGGCTCTTTCTTCTTTTTTTGATGTGTGCTTTTATTGCTATAAATTGGCTTCTGATCATTGCTTTTGCTGTGTCCTAAAGATTTTGGTATGTTGTATTTTCATTCTTGTTTGATTCAAGGAATTTTTTATTTCATTTTTTATTTCTTCTGTTACCCAGTTGTTCTTAAGGAGGGTGTTCAGTTTCCATGTGTCTGCTCTTTTTCTGTTGATCTTCCTATTGTTGATTTCTAATTTGATAGCATTGTGATCTGAGAAGATGCTATGTAGTATTTCAATGTTTTTAAATTTATTAAGGCTTGCTTTATGGCCTAACATATAGTCTATCATGCCGAATGTTCCATGTGCACTGGAAAAGAATATAAATTGTGCTGTTGTTGGGTGAAGTGCTCTGTAGATAGATAGATAGTCCTTTATAGGTCAAGTTGATGGATTGCATTGTTTAGCTCTTCTGCGTCTTTGTTGAGTTATTTTGTAGTTGCTCTATCTTTCATTGAAAGTGGTGTATGAAAGTCTCCTACTATGACTGTGGAGTCATCTATTTGCCTTTTCAATTCTGTTAAAGTCTGATTTATGTATTTTGGGGCTCTTTCTTTGGGTCCATAGATATTTATTATGATTATATCTTATTGTTCAATTGATCCTTTAATCATTATATAATGTCCTTCCTTGTCTCTTATGGTGGTTTTTGTCTTAAAGTCAGTTTGATCAGAAATTATATCACCACTCCTGCTCTTTTTTGGTTGCCATTTGCTTGATATATCTTTTTCCAATCTTTGATTTTTAGTCTAATTTTGTCTTTGTCTCTAAGATGTGTCTCTTGTAGACAGCATATTTATGTGTTATGTTTTCTTATCCAGTCTGCAACTCTCCATCTCTTGAGTTGTCCATTTAAGCCATTGACATTCAGTGTAATTATTGACAAGTATGAATTGGTTGCTGTCATTTTGTTACATGTTTTTTCATGGTGTTGGTGGTTTCTTTGTTCTGTGCTGAGCTCATTTTATTTATGAATTGTGTTATCATTTCCTTTGTTACTGTTTCAGTATTTGCTAAATATTTGTGCTTGTCCTCTTTTTTATTGTAATGTAAAGGTTTATCATTTTTCTTTGAGGTTACCCTGTAATTTATAATTCTTTCCCTGAGTTTAACATAGTCCATTCTATCTTGCAGCTCTCTTGACTTCCTCACCATTTAGAAGTTCTGTAACTACACTATTTTTTCCTTCTTTTTGGTTTGTAGTTGCCCTCATTTGCCAATTGATATTTCTGGTTCCCTGTTTGCACTCTTGTAAGCTTATCTAATGTTGGATATTTCCATAGCTTTATGGGTTATGTCATCTTGTGTATTAATGGTTGGTTGTTCTTTGCTATTATTGATTCTCTGTTCAAAGGCTCCCTTTAGTATCTCTTGTAAGGTTTGTCTGGTTTTAACATATTCCCTTAATTTCTGCTTATCTGGAAATCTCCTAGTTTCACCATCATATTTGAGGGCCAGGGTAGTAGCTCCACCTCTATGCACCACACAATGTGAAAATTATTGAGCAATATTATTAATATCACATGCAAGTAAAATCTTACTGAAGATAATTAAAAAATGGTTGCAGCAATATATAGACAGAGAACTTCCAGAGACGCAAGTTGAGTTCAGAAGGGAATGTGGTGCGAGAGATACTATAACTAATGTCAGATGGATTTTGGCTCAAAGCAAAGAGTACCAGAAAGATGTTTACTTGTGTTTTATTGACTATGCAAAGGCATTCAGTTGTGTGGATCACAACAAATTGTGGATAACATTGAGAAGAATGGGAATTCCAGAACAATTGATTGAACTCATGAGGAACCTGTACATAGACCACTGTTGTTCGAACAGAACAAGGGAATACTGGATGGCTTAAAATCAGGAAGGGAATGTGTCAGGGTTGTATCTTTTCATGATACTTGTTCAATCTGTGTGCTGAGCAAATAATCCGAGAAGCTGGACTATATGAAGAAGAATGTGGCATCAGGATTGGAGGAAGGCTCATTAACAATTTAGGATACACAGACAACACAACTTTCCTTTCTGAAAATGAGGATGACTTGGAGTACTTACTGATAAAAATTAAAGACTAAACTCTGTAGTACGGATTACACCTCAATATAAAGAAAACAAAAATCCTCACAACTGGAGCAAACATGATAGATGGAGCAAAGATTAAAGTTGTCAGAGTTGTCAAAGACTCCATATTGCTTGGTTCTGTGATCAACGCCAATGGAAGCAGCAGTCAAGACATCAAAAGACGCATTGCATTGGGCAAATCTGTTGCAAAAGACCTGTTTCAAGTGCTGAAGAGCAAAGATGTCTCCTTAAAGACTAAGATGCATCTGACCCAAGCCATGGTATTTTCATTTGTCTCATATGCATGTGAAAGCTGGACAATGAATAAGGAAGACTGAAGAAGAATTGATGCTTTTGAGTTGTGGTGCTGGCACAGAACACCAAAAGTACTGTGGACTGCTAAAAGAACTAACAAGTCTGTTCTGGAGTACAGCCGGAGTGCTCCTTGGCAGCGAGAATGGCCAGACTTCGTCTCACCTACTTTGCTCATGTTTGTTACAAGGGACCATTCTCTGGAGAAGGATGTCATGCTTGATAAAGTGGAAGGTCAACGAAAGAGGGGCAGGCCCTCAACAAGATGGATTGACACGGTGGCTGCACCGATGGGCTTAGGTATAGTAGGGATTGTGAGGCTGGCACATATCTGGGGAGGAGGCAATAATAGAAAAGATGTACAATAGGAGAATAATGAAGAAAAAAAATGTGAAAAATACAAAAAGAAAAACAAGGAATGGGGTTAACCACGAGAAAGAAAGAAATGGGAACCAGGAACAGGGAAGAGAGAAAAAGCCGAAAACTA